AGAGAGCTTTTTCCACAACCTTATAAGACATTTCAATATTCCAGGCTAGAAGTAACAAATGCATAAGCTAGTTTTTGAGCATTACTCTGAGACAGGATATTTCTGATTTTAGTGAATTTGTGCAGATGAAAGAAGATACACTGCTCTATAAATAGCTTTGAGCACTGTATTTGTGCCCAAGTACAATATCCTCAGTTTTGTCTGAAATCAAAAGTAGAAAGTTGCTGGTCCAAGGACCTGATGCTCTCTAATGGACCCTGTGTTTAATCCAAGATTGCCATTTTCCATCGAATACAAAAATTGGCAGGTTCACCACTCTATGCTTTTCACAGATGAGACCAGGTTTCACCCGTTCACCTGAACGTTATGCTGCCTGTAACATCATTCGGCATGAATGTTTATAAGGGTGAACTCATAATTCGCTACTCTGAGGCTGGGATTACTGCCACAGCTGGAGTATTGTGAGGAAAGGTGACGATATTTATTATTTAACGGTAACATGCCTTATTGTGAATGTATGATTTATGCCGGACGCCCTTTCTGATGCAACGAAGAAGGAGAACCAGTGTGTGGCAACATGAATATTTCTATGAAACATCTGGCCTTTACAGAAAGGCCATCACTACATCTCCCAGCATGACTGGGAGTACTTTACGAACTCCCAGGAAGGTGGCCTGTATGGTTCTTATGTTGGATTAGATTTGAGGGTAATGACCTCAAATTTAATCATGTGACCTTGTTCATATGAACGAATACCTGAGGACAGTGGCCTTGAGCCAAAGAGGTATTTTTACATCTCAGGTCGTTTAAGCTTAAGATGTTTAAGATGCTAATATATCAAACTACTGGGCAAGAATAAAGAAAGATAGGAAAATAAAAAGAATAAGAAGATCATCAGATGCCATCTGCAGGTCAGAGGTGCTTTAAAGGGGAATCAATGTGAAATTCACTCCTGTAAAAAGTTGGTATGCGGGGTGAAATATTAAAAGGGGGCAGACTTTTTTTCTCTGTTTCTGGTGTTGGGAAGGTTACTTTTAAAATGTATTCCACTACAGATTGCAGAATACATGCCCCAAAATGTATTTTGTAACGTATTCCATTACGTTACTCAATGAGAGTAATGTATTCGGAATACTTTGGATTACTTGATATATTGTCATGCTTTTTACAACTACATGAATGTACTATTGCTGTGTGATTTATTACTGAAGGTTACTCGCCATACTAATAGCAACTAGATTTTTAAATCTTAATATAAATGAGTAACAGTAGGTGGACATTAGTAAAACATTAGTGTCTGCTGTTCGAAGAAAACTTCTTTTTACAGTGAAAAAAACCCCCTAAACTTCTGCACAAGCACTGAGTAGGACACACTTCCACGGGAATGTGAAATTCACAGAGAAACTGCCGGATCCTTCCACTGACATGACGGCTGCGACACACCTGCACCAGGGCAAACCTCCG